TGCGTGCGTGCGTGCGTGCGTGCGTGCGTGCGTGCGTGCGTGCGTGCGTGCGTGCGTGTTTCATTGATTGATGCCTATTGTGAGATCTCGCGTGCGTGACACATCTCTGCTAGCTTGTATTTGCTATGATTCATAGGAGGGAGAATCCCCGATGCATTATGCCGGAGAAATCACAAAAACAATGGCTCATTACGTTGGTGAAGACACGGACATAATAAAAATACTCCTGAGCTATGACGGTGACGTTAATGTGCTCACTAAGTTGGTACGTCACTGACGAGTTTATACACATCCCGTGTCAAACATTCATTTGCAGATTCAAACATGATTTTAAAATTTAAAAAAATAAGGTAGAACTGATCCGAATATTAAATGAAATGTGTGTATTTATGATAAACGATATTCTACTTTCGAGTCGTTTTACACTAGACTACGTTGTGCGTTTGGCGATTGTGCGATGCGCAGTCACATACAATTAATTAACTAGAAACCTTTTCGCAGACGTATGAAACAGTTCTACACTATTGCGCTCGGGCGGGAAATGAAGGCGTATTGATTGAGATTGTAAAGCACCTTGGTATGGCCAACGTGCAAGTTGCCACTAACAAGCAAGCCAAGGCAAGTTACAGGATATTTCATATAAAGCCACCGCGGTTCGCTGTATCGATTATAACCTCCACTCTTACACTATCCATAACATCATATTTGAAATACAGGGTAAACACTCACGAATGCAATTTCGAGCGAATTAATTACAAACTAGAGTTAATAATTGATTAATAAATTAAGAGAGATGCCGGCGTTATCCGGCACCGATCTGTGCGTTATATCAAGTTGTTCTGGCCATACATTACGCAAGGAATTCATTATTCTCTACGTTTTTCTACGATTTAGAACGGCTGGTCACCGCTGCTCGTTGCAAGCGAGCAGGGACACGCGAAGATCGTGAACATCCTGTTACAGAATCACGCTCGGGTGGACGTGTTCGACGAGGTAAGGCCGTAAATTCTCTCAGCGGTTTATTCGCAGTAGGTATAGTTCGTCTGCTACTGTTACCGCGTGTTAGACGGGGTAAGCTTTATTCTCTCAGCGGTTTCGCAGCCACGCTTCGAGCAGCTTTTCAGAGGTTCTTTCGTCTGCTGCTGCTGTTACCGCGTGTTTGCGTATACGCGCCACGCTGTACGCCTCCCTAGCACGCCCGCCATGTCCATTACATCCACCCCATTAGCGAGTGTTATTGTTATTCGCTTCAGCACGGAAAGGCCGCCCTGCACGTTGCCGCGGAGAACGGACACGCGGACGTCGTGGGCATTCTGCTGAGAAATAAAGCGTTCGTTAATTCGAAATCGAAACTCGGAGTGACGCCATTGCACTTGACCGCCATGAACGGTTACAATAAACTCGTGAAGATGATGATTGAAAGCCACGGCGCCACAATGGACGCATTATCGCTGGTAAACAATTAGTCTCTACGAAGAATGCGTTGTGATTTTTGGCCGAGAGAGAGAGCAAATACCGCGCGCCGTCTTAATATAGAAATCCGCGCGTGTTGACTTCAGTAACTAAACACGGGCGAGCACAGTGAGATCATGTTGCAGTGATCTCTAAATGCGAGCTGTGCTTGTAAAAGGTGCAGGCTTAGCTATTTAATCCTGTAAGTGCTCGAAGCGGATATCCCGTTTTGGAACGGGGGGGGGGGTTTCAGCCGCTCGAGTATGGCGGAACTGAATCGAGCTCGTGTTTTTCATTTCAGGCAAAGAAAACTCCTCTGCATTATGCAGCGCAGAACGGTCAGTTAGAAGTGTGCAAGACATTACTGCACATGAAAGATGATGCCAACGCCAAAGACAACGTACGTGTCGTAAAAACAACACAACTCACTCGTCACTATACTCTATAAGCTACACAAAGCTTTTCCCAGCAGCCGTATGCAGCAGCAACTGCAAAATCACGTATCCATGGTAACGAGAAATGCATTAAGAAATGCTCAGTTTGCGCTAAGAAAACTTATTCGCCCCCTTACGCCCTCTAACGTCGCTCCAAACTAATTTTTATCACTTCGAAATAGTAAATTATATTTTTTCCTGGTCAGCACGGACAAACGCCGCTTCATCTTGCGGCCGAAAATGACCACTCTGACGTCGTCAAGCTGTTTCTCAAGTACAAACCAGAACTGGTTACTATGGCGAATACGGTAAGCAACACAAACTACGTGTTAACGTGCGCCCCGAGGGTTCTATATTTAGTTAGTGTGATCAGGTTCCAGCTCTTCTCGCTCCCGAGTCTAAAATGGAAAGACTGTTCTACGATGGCTCGCTTCTAATGCCATATATATATATATATATATATATATATATATATATATATCTGTGTTTACCACTAAATGTTAGCTAACGGTTGTTCGCATAACTCGAAAGTGAAGCCCACGTGATAGCAAAACTCGTACCGCTCGTCGTCACTCTTTCACAATAACGTTTTTGATAATAAATAAAGTTACTAAAAAAACAAATAATGCGCGTTCGTTTTTCAACGTCAGCGCGACGCCTTTCATTTATCGATCGCGCGAATTCGTGGAACTAGTCATGGATGGTTCCGCCGGATATCCTGTTAACTACATCTGCGTTCACATCCGGCGCTTAGATATTTGGATTATAATGATCGACGAAACTATTTCGAAACCATTTCATAAGTTTTGCATGTGTATATCCTGTTGTTGTCGGTGCCCAGAAGGCAGATGTTTTCTCTGCGGAATCATATGCAGTCATATATACATACATACATATCAGAAGTAGATAATAGGGATAATAGGGATTCCATATTATCTACTTCTGATATATAGTCATAAGTTATGCTGTAAAATCAATCTATCCTTATTTCAAACTAATTGATTTTATTATTTAATCTTTAATCTCAAATGTATGTATAATTGGTTATTACTGACGTATTGTTAAAACGTAGCAATTGCTTGTTTGGCAGCCACAGTTGTTACGATTTTTATATGATTATTATAATTATATTTTACACGTATTTTGATCTAACTTATCCCCACTCCACTTATTCATTACATTCAGGATGACGTAAGTATTAGATGTGTGCATGTATGCATCCCTGCACAATGTCGTAACCACACAAGCACAGGATCACCCCCTCTGTATATATCGTACACGAAAACGTGAAGCACAGAAGTTCTCACATGCTGTAGCATATAGTTAACCGAACATTACTGCTAGTTACGTTTGTGCTAAGACAATAAAAGTTGTGCACCGTAGCGGCACTGTATGCATAGCCTTAGCTCTATCTGCACGCGGTCGGCGCATCGCCCAAACATTAAAGCATCCCCTCCACACGGTTTTCTCACAACTCGCAATAAAAAAACGGTCCCGCTTCCTCTCTTGCGAAGTTGGGTTGTTGCGCCACGCGGGTGATATAACATTGGCATAGCGCATAAAGATTGTTTAGGAGCTAGTAATAATTGACTGGTCAAGCGACGACAATGACGGAGTCGTATCGTGTGAAGTCAGTTGTTGTGTATGGCAGATGTTGCATCTCATTTCCCATATAATCCGCTAGTACCTACTACCTCCTGGACGTATCTCACGTTGTTATTGCAGAAACCTTTAGTATATAAGACAGTGTGTATATATATCTATAGACAACCTATCATGTTTCTTTCCACGTAGAATGACCCCGCATGCTATGTACGCGAAACTCACACCGGTTGTAACACCGCAACTGGTTAGTTCAAGCCAAATAGTATGTATATTTCACCACGGCTCTATATCATTAATGGTTATACGTTGTCTATATAACAGCGCGTTCTGTCACCAGGTCTATCGAGTGAGACATGCGCTTTTTGTTTGGGTATATCACTATTCGAGTTGCGACCGTTTCTCTCCTAAACATGTGTATCACATGAATCTCTAGGTATTTAATATTCACGACGACAGAAATACTAACTGTTAACTACATAAAACAGACTACACGTCCGGTGTGTTGTCAACGTACCACTTCCCCTCCACAAACACCACATACATTGTCTCGTGAAGCTAATAACCATTCAAGCTTTACAGATGCTATTAGTTCTGGAATCTAGAAAAGCTAACATACAAAATTCATTTCATGAATCCGGCACCATACGCATTTCGTTTTTTAGCAATCCTTCAGAACCGAAGAAAAACTCGTATGAATATAAAAAAGACTTTGATCTTGTTTTTCTTTCTTTTTACTATATACACACTTGGCATATATAAACCATGCTATGCGTTGTGACAAATAGACACCCGCGCAGTTTTCCTCGAAATTACCAGAAAGTTAATATCTATTAGAGACATCCAATTTATTACCTGGCACCTGCTATAAATTTGATGTACGCGCATTGCGAGTAATGTACGCCGGCCTCAATTAACGCGATGAGGTGACACTGTGAACGATTTATTTAACGTCAATAATATAGGTGTAATAACTCTCTTCATCGGGGTTCGGAAAACGTATTATATTATGATAGCCACACATGTCCACTCGGGTATATCAATTCGAAAACCCTGTCATATGCCGATGACAACTCGCCTGAATGGGGCTATTTATTACGCAACACTGGTTTACATAGGGTTAATGTAGCAAACGGCCAACGTTCAACGGCATATTGTGTGCCCAAATACAAAAGGCATTGTTTATATTGTAATTTAATAACAATTTCTATTATTTTTATCTAATGATCCGAGCTAAAATCAAGATTTTAAAGTCGAACACGTGTTATTATGGCAAGAGCTGCAGATAATTCAGTCAACAAGAAGGCATAGTTGCTTTAAAGGATTCTTATAACCTCCTGAAACTCTCTATGACATTTCTTCTACACAGCCACATCCTCATCCTAGACCTTACCCCACCCCTCCGCATCCTCGTACAAGATTCTATGATAATACAAGAAGCATACACAAAGAGAATGCGCCATTAGTGCGCCGTCTGTTGGCGACTTAGAGAAATGCTAGATAATACCCTGAGCGCAGTTCATTCATAAAGTAGTATAGTATAGGTACACTCTAATTTATGCTAGTTATACTAGTTAAACATAGCATAAGTACATTATATGTTAATAAGGACTTTTGACTTTAGTCACTACTCATAATGAATTACTCCCGTATACAATTAGTTCGAATTTTTGTTTTTGCCAACACATATACATCCCAACAACACCCACCGCCTTAATCACTATCACAGAATGTCACTAGTACTAGTATCTCGTTCAAAATGAATGCTTGATATCACACCTAGTTATCATACCCCATTATACCAGCAACTAGATTATTAATCATATACTGCATGTGTAAACGGCATTGCAGAATAGCATTGTTGTCGCAAATGTCGTAAAATGACTACTTAAAACAAAAAATAGTATAAATTATAAATAAATGGAAATCATTGCGAGTTTATTTTATACGCATATGTCGGTGTAAACCAGGAACGTATGACTCTAGAACAAAGTAGCTGTTCGCGTTGTCTGCATGTGGCTGCGCCTCACACGAATTTTTCATGTACGAGAACGATTCCCGCTTTTAATATGCTGTTTAATAGGTTGCACGATCGTAGCCTGGTTACCACCGGTTTCCTTGCTGCTCTCCGACGCAATTTTATGCATAAATATTGGGTATAACTATATATGGAATGGGAAACCCAGGGCACCCCTATGCAGCATTGAAACGTAGATGCCAACACAGAAGTAGACTGATTATGGAGTATCCCGATTCCAAATATTCCCACCGGATTGTGTTTTGTTATAGTATCTAGAATGATGACCACCTCGGAACGACATGTTACTGCATAAACAATGCCAGAACTCCATCGTTTTTCGCTGGTTCCCAAATTCTCTGCTAGAACTCGAAATATATAAGATTCCTATCGTGCGCACGGAACTCTCGTTAATCTGCGTATCCGGGGGAAAAGCTAGTAATGAAAACTAGAAGCCTCCAAACGTCACCAAGATTGCGCAAGAGATTCTACCTGCATATAGTGACTCATATACTCATATAGTGCTATACGCACCCTACCCTCGGCGCACCTAGGGGCAATGCGTGCAGCGTAATGAAGTCCAGCTACCATGCAACGTCGAGTGGCATTAACCGCTGGGAATTTCTCTCATTAGTGACGTAATAGCACCAGCATTCGATGGCATGACCTAGAGTTATGACAGCCGACATTGTACAGGTAAGGTAGCACGCGTACAGCCGGGTATATGCGTCTGCCGTATATATATATAATACCCTGTTGTGTTATTGTGCGTGTGGGGTGTTGTGTTATTTATATATATATATTTATATATATTATATATATATATATATATATATATATATTATATATTATATATGCTGTGCGTGTGTGTGTGTGCTGTGTGTGTGTGTGTGTGTGTGTGTGTGTGTGTGGTGTGCAGTGTGCGTGTGGCGTGTGCGTGTTGCGTGTGCCGCTGTGCGTTGGTGCGTGTTGCGTGGTGCGGTTGCGTGGTGTGAGTGAGCGTGTGCGTGTGCGTGTGTGCGCCTGTGTGCGGCGGTGGCGAGTGGGGTGGGTCTCGGGGGTGCGTGTGCTGCGGTGTGTGCGTCGATTGCCGCGTTATGCGGTGGAGTAATGTCTTCAGTCGATTTAACGTCCCTTGTCGCTGGGACCGGAACGAGCGGGTCTTTAATCCGGCTCTCGCTCGCTCGTCTGGGCTTCGAGCTACTCGGGCGGCAATTCGATTGCCATAGAAACGGAACGTTGTTAACGGCGCGGTTCATTTGTGGTGGTATTACGATGTTTCTAGGGGATTGAGTGCGCAGAGTCAAAGAGTCCGATCGGGCGTAAGTGTGGCGCAGACAAAGCCGTGTTTAGTAAAAGCATTAGCCGATCGTATTTGATCGAGTGCCAAATCTGGTAGGATCTGGGTGTCGTTGTGACTCTGACCCCCTCTCTCTCTTTCTCTCTCTCTCTCTCTCTCTCTCTCTCTCTCTCTCTCTCTCTCTCTCTCTTTCTCTCTCTCTTCTCTCTCTCTCTCTCTATATATATATATATATATTGCCAGCATTCGTTGTGGGAAGTGTTAATAGGGAAAAACGTACACGTTCAATCAAATAAATATTCACGCTCAAGAGAGTATTAAGCTGTTTGTTTATTGTAATGTGGGGCGTGTTTGCTGCCCGATAGTTTAAGTTGAGCTGAGACCATAGCGGAGACGCAACTTAAATTATCTTGAAAGCAACATCGCACCAACCTCAGCATTGTGTGAAAAATTTCCAAGGTGCAATTAAATAATTCACATAAAATACTAACATGGTCCCCATTTCTTGAGTCTTTTAAAGTTAGTTTTTGAATCGTTGTCTGTTTAATCGTTTGTTAGAATTCGTTCCAAGTTGTCTGACAAAACTAGCGCGGATATAGCGCAATGACGTTCAAATAGCCGGCGCGGGAAAAGCCGGCCATCTTGTGGTGCAATTGTGCGTAGCACATTTCAAGAAAATTACATTTTTGTTTTATTTTCTATTATTTTAGAGATCGGACAAAACGAATGTTATTGCGAGATTACCTAGCTCAACTGATTGTAGAGGTGATTTTGGCAAATGTAGCAAAGTATAAAATGGTGGAAAATCGTTATTATTTTCGATGCGTGGTTATAAAATACTTGCATGACGTAGAATTCTGAATATAACGAAGGGACGTCATATTTTCAGGAGTAGACATTTTAATTTAATTAGGAGAACATTTTACTAGCAGAAAATCACAAAAAGGTGATCGTATATTAATAACTGTTTTTACTCGTTATACCAACAGTGTTGTGTTAGGTAAGGACAATAAATTGGTTATTCTATAGTAGCCAAAGAGTCGTTGGCAGCAATATAGTAATATAATATCAATATAACTGTAGAGGAACGTGATTGTCATTGTTGCAGTAGTTTGGGTAGTGGCGGTTTCATTAATTATTCTATTAATACAAAACTGCATTGTTGCAAGTCTTGCAAAAGACTGCAATTTTGATTTAATTCATGCGTTCACTGCGACCGTCTATCTTCATGCTATGGTTCATTAGGTAATCATATCGCTCAGACAAACAAGCTATACATGTCTATTAATATTTGTATCTACTGCTGAGACGAAACGGCACAGTTGAGAGTAAAACTCGGACCGTATCTCTGTGAACTGTGTGTGTTCTTTAAGAGTGCTGCATGTGTTACTAAACAAGCGGTATTGAACATAATTAATTACGCTTATGTACAGCGTTAAATACTTTCACCAGTCTACGGTGAAGCTTGCGTGCTACATTAATCGTTATTATTGCTATTTTCGTCCAACTTACACGTTTTATTATATTCTTAATGCATCTTTTTAATATAACATTAATAGAAGTGTTGCATGCATGTTTTATATGGTATCGACGCGTATGTGTACTCCCGCGTGTGCGTATCCGTAGAAAGAAACTACAAAATACAGTCTTGTAATTTAATTTTCCCGGTGTTTTAGCATGGTATGACATGCGCCCACATCGCAGCATCAAAGGGAAGCGTAGCCGTCATCAAGGAACTGATGAAGTTCAACAAAATCATCATCACAGCTGCGAAAAACAAGGTAGGTGATTGGGAGTATCACACACACTAAGAAGCGATTGGGTGCGATGAACGTATGCTAGAATGAATACTGTCGGCCATTGTCCTGGTTATTGCCATGCTATTCTATCTTTAGGCCACGTCGTATATTAATAATTAGCGCCGGTAAAGTGGGTATCGTAAATGTAAGAAACACCGTATGTAGGATTTGTAAGATTAAACACATCCCTTAATTAATGTTTAAATCTCTGCGCTTGAGACCTCGCTAGTTTCGCGTCAACACGGGTCATTCGCCATGCTCGCATGAGAGATTCGAATCCATTTCGCTGCAAAGAGGCGGATAGCATGTTAACATCGTCGCTTATAAATATGCTTCTACGTTAACTACTTTATTTTACCGTCGTTTTCCTCTAGTTTGTGGTACATCACTTTGGTAACACACAAATGGTTATTACGTCTAACAAATTTGTTATGAAATCGTGGTTTGGTACAGTTGTTACATAGTCACATAGTGATTGCTCGCGATAACATTAAAAACCAGAAACTTGAACTTCAATGGCTGCATAGAAAGGAAGCCATGAATAACCATGCAGAGTTTATTGAACCGATTTTATTGGGAAACAGCGCGTTGCTACAGAACAATCTACTTACGGGGTTTGACTGAGCATTTGTCGCTGTTCATGTGCGTTCAATGCGCGACTGCCTAGAATATATCGAACATGAATGGCAAGCAATATCTAATAAACGTTAAAAATGCACGTTCAACATTTTAACATAAAATAACAATTTTAGATTAGAAATGTCATTACTTGGAATTAGATTACAACATTGGAACAAGATTATTATTACTAGGAACAATTGCGATGTTGCGATTGACTTATATACGAATCTCTGTTTATGACACGGTATCCAGACTACCGGATCTACAGCCTTGCACCTGGCTGCCGAGGGGGGATACGCTGCAGTTGTCAAGGTGCTTTTGGAAGCGGGTGCCTTGTCATCGGAGGAAAATACGGTAGGTAATTAAACGACCCTAATGAATTTGCTTTCGACGCTATAGCCTATAAGTAACGCGCTTTTGATATGCGGTGTTACACGTGTGAAATGTAAACAAGAAATGAAAAAGGTTTGCTTATGGCACAGCGTATGTGAAATACAAGTTTTGGCAGCTGATCGTTGGCGCCTGTGGTAGGGTTTGTTTCGTAAGACAGCACCATCGTCTGCGCATTTATAGGAAGGTATGACTCCGCTGCATCTAGCAGCAAAATACGGACACGTCAATGTGCTTGAAGGACTGAGAAGTGCAGTGTCATGGAAGATACCAAGTAAAAAGGTAATTATATTTCAATTGTATTCTAGTTAACCCGATAACAAATGATTTTCGACGCGGGAAGATTAGAAATATAGAATTTAGTGTATTTGGAATATAGAAATACGATCTCTTGTAATTACTGTTATATTATCCTGTATACGTAGGATCGGATTTTCAACCGACAAAAATGATTTGCAACTGTTACTTAGTTATAGATTAATTATTTATAATTAATTATAAAGATTTGTTTTGATTGATATATATGTACGATGGTGTCGAACGTCTCATTTGAGTTTTTTTCATTTGATGACTATTCAATGCCTCAGACTGGACTAACTGCCTTACACGTTGCTGCCCATCACGGCCATATTGACTTTGTCCGAGAGATGCTTTCCAAAGTTCCGGCCACCATCAAAAGCGAAGCGGTGTCGCACGACATGGATATGCAGTCACCGATGAAAGACATCATGACCGACGTAAGTGCTATCGATGAAGTAGCCAACAGGATAACAAGAGCGCAATCCAATTAAAAAGGAATATAATTATACAGTCGACGCTGCTATTTTTAGTTAAATTCAGAATTACTTAGGTTACATGAATGTTGTCTTATATTTCGATAGCGATGCTTGGTAATTGGAAACATGATTAGACAAAGTTCTGATTGATATATGTTTACAGGCATTGGATTTGTCAACGCTTCTATGGATGGCATAATATCAAGAGTCTATCAATAGACTCCTGATAATATATTGCCTTAAAGTTGATTTTTTATGAAAATAGCGCCAAAACGCTATTACTACTACTACTACTACTACTACTACTACTACTACTACTACTACTACTACTACTACTACGACGACGACGACGACGACGACGACGACGACGACGACTACTACTACTACTACTACTACTACTACTACGACGACGACGACGACGACTACTGCTGCTGCTGCTGCTATTATTATTATTATTATCATTATCATTATCATCATCAACATTATCGTTATTTTTATTATTATTATTATTTAGTCTGGGCTCACGCCGCTACATCTGGCCGCACAGTCCGGGCATGAGGGATTGGTGCGCCTTCTACTCAACTCGCCCGGCGTGCAGATTGACACAGCGACCAACGTTCACGTAAGTTACTGAATAATTATCGTTAAAATCGTTAAACGTCGTAAAATCATAAACATCGTTCCTTGAGTGATTTGAATTTGACCTTAATTAGATGAATTTAGATTTAGATTAGATTAAAATTAGATTACATTTGACCTTTAATTAGATTAAACGTTGCCTTACTTCAAGGACCCTGAATATCACGATTCTTTTTGATCACGTCAATGTGTATGTTATTCTGGGATTGGGTTCATATCACACGTCATGGGATACGTTAATGCATAGGCCCCTATCACATAATAACTAGAATAAAAACCAATCCAGCGCTGCGTTATGAGAAACTGACAGTCGAGACTCGAAAATATTACATAAAATGATAAATATGCGAATATATATGCATAGAAATATATTTACAGAAATAATACGCCACATGTTGTTGCCTAGATCCCGAATGACTCTGTTTTTTTAGGGAACCATACCTCTGCACATGGCAGCCCAGAGCGGTCATTCGGCCGTCGTTGGCTTGCTGCTAAGTAAATCCACGTACCAGCTGCACGTGAAGGACCGACGGGGTCGAACTGCGCTCCACCTATCGGCCGCAAACGGTCACCTTGACATGGTTGCCTTGCTGATAGGACAAGGTGCCGAAATCAACATCGCCGATAAGGTAGGAAAGCAAGAATGCGTCTTATTAGCGCCTGCTGAAATGGTTCCGATACGTCCCCAGAATTCCGCATCTCCAATAAGCGGAGAATTACATTACAAAACACGATTACGTTATAATGACGTTAACCGCTGCGGCATGCTTGTTGCAGATCGGTTGGACATCCTTGCACTTTGCTGCGAAGAACGGATTTCTGGGCGTTGTCAAGTTACTAGTGCAGAGTGGAGCCGCGCCAAGTTGCGAGTCTAAAGTAGGTGCTAATAGAAATGACACAAGAATATACGCTGAGCTAATTCATTTCGTAAATACCTGCATCATATTTTAATAAACAGGCGAATTGATTGAGACGCGAGACCAAAATATTTTCCACGGCAAATCATCTCTTCTGATTTTTATTAATTCCGAATTCCTCGTCATCATTTACACAGATGTGCGCGGTATCTGTCTTGTCGCATTCAGTGTCTCATTACTGCTGTCACCTCGCATACTTCATTTCCCCCTCTCTCTCTGTCTGTCTGTCTCTCTCCCTCGCTCTCTCTCTCTCTCTCTCTCTCTCTCTCTCTCTCTCTCTCTCTTCTCGCTCTCTCTACGATCTCTCTCTCTCTCTCTAGCTGTCATGTCTCGTTCTTCTCTCTCTCTACTTTCTCTCTCTCTCTCTCCCTCTCCTCCTCTCTCTTTCTCTCTCTCTCTCTCTCTCTCTCTTCTCTCCTCTCTTCTGTGTCTCTCGCTCGCTCTCTCTCTCTCTTCTCTCTCTCTTCTCTCTCTCTCTCTCTCATCTCTTCTTCTCTCTCTCTCTCTGTTCTCGCTCTCTCTCTTCTCTCTCTTCTCTCTCTCTCTCTCTCTCTCTCTCTCTATCTCTCTGTAATTCTCTCTCTCTCTACTCTCTCTCTGTCTCTCTCTTTCTCTCTCTCTCTTCTCTCTCTCTCTCTCTCTCTCTGTCTCTGTACTATCTCTTCGTTCTCATATCTCTCTCTCTCTTCTCTCTCTCTCTCGTCTCACGCTCTCTCTCTCTGGTCTCTCAGCTCTCTCTCTTCTCTTCTCTCTTCTCTCTCTCTCTCTCTCTTGCTCTGTCTCTCTCTCTCTTTCTCTACTATAGCTGCCATGCGTATTCCATGTGCGCGTAGCCATCCCGTCTTGCGAACCAAGCAGCTCAAATGAAATTAATGTAATCGGCGGTGGATTCGCACGGTTTCACATTATAAAATGTTTATATCCGCTTTAAGGAAGGACGAATACCGCTTTGTTTCGCGGCCGCCTTCCAACACCACGACGTGTTGAGTTTCCTGATGAGGAAAGAGCACAACACTCAGGCACTGATGGAGGATAAGAAGGTGCCATATATTATCCGCGATCACTTTCACCGGATCTTCTCTTATATTCCACAGGATATCGCTTTTCTAACGGTATCCGTGTTTTTATAGCGATTTTAAATATTCACACGATTTAACGGTAAAGATGTTTATTATGTTAACCCTACGAAGGAATCCTTACTGAAAAATGCTTGTGAACATCAAATAAAATCGGGTTAAAACTTTTCTAACGTTATTTGTGTTTTAATACCAGTTTCAATTTTAATGCGACTTAAGGGTAAAGATGCGTTTATTACTTTGTAACCATTCGAACGAATCCCTACTGAAAAGAGCTCCTAAACGACATGTAAAATCGAGTAATTTATTTTCTCCCTTTTCTCTGTAGTTTGTCTACGATCTCATGGTTTGCGGCAAGACGCACGATGACAAGGCCATAGACGAGTTCATACTCGTGTCACCGGCGCCCGTCGAGACCGCCTCCAAACTCTCCAAACACTTCCGAGATCTCGGAGCTCGCGAGAAAGAGCGAGCACGAGATCTCATCACGGCCTCGAAGCACTGTGAGAACATGGCGACCGAGTTGCTCGCCATTGCTTCAGGCCTGCACAGTGCTGGCCTGCTCCTCAGATCGCTCGACAACCGCGGAACGCCGTTCCTGGACGTACTGATCGAGAACGAACAGAAGGAGGTGGTCGCCCATCCGGCCGTGCAGCGCTACCTATCGGACGTTTGGACAGGTAATCTGCGCTGGGGAACGTGGAAGATCATCGCGATCTTCATCATCTGCCTCGTGTGTCCGCCGGTGTGGATCGTCGTGTCGTTACCGTGGAAGAACCGCTACAACCGGGTACCGATCGTCAAGTTTATGTCCTATCTCATCTCACACGTGTATTTCATCTTCCTCTTGACGATAACCGTCGTCATACCGTTCAACCCGATTTACGAGAGCGGGACTCTGCTGCCGCATTGGTACGAATGGCTTCTGCTAGCCTGGCTTTCCGGTCTGCTTGTAGCAGAGCTTACGAATCCCGGTGATCGCACAGGACTCGGTTGGATCCGCATCATCATCCTCACCATCTCGGCGCTGGGAATATCCGTGCACGTTTGCGCGTTCGTGTTCCCGCTGACCGACAACGCGGGCGTACGAAACCGACAGACGTTCATCTACATTCGAAATCAGTTTCTCTCCGTCTCGCTGCTTCTTTGCTTCGTGCAGCTTCTGGAGTTTCTGTCGTTTCATCACCTGTTCGGTCCGTGGGCGATCATCATTCAGCATCTGATGAAAGATCTCGCGAGATTTCTCGTCATTCTGCTGATATTCATGGCCGGGTTCACGCTGAACATTGCCGCCATCTATCAGCCCGTCTACGAGAAACTACCCGACGAAGACGTCACGCTTCAGAATCCCATCCTGACGTTCGAAATGCTCTTCTTCTCGCTGTTCGGTCTCGTCGAACCGGACAACTTGCCACCGACGCCATCCAGTCCCGATTTTGCGTTCGTGCTCATCAAATTCGCGTTCGGCATCTACATGCTGGTGACGCTGATCGTTCTTATAAATCTACTCATTGCTATGATGTCGGACACCTATCAGAGAATACAGGCCGAGTCGGACACAGAGTGGAAGTTCGGCCGCGCGAAGCTGATCCGCAACATGAACAAGACGTCGGCCACTCCTTCGCCGCTGAACCTGTTCACCAAGTTCCTTATGTACATCCGGGTGGCGTTCAAGCACAAAGGTGAGCAGGTTTTATACTATGGTCAAATTAGTATAGTATAATAAATAGTATAGTCAAAGTGTAATTAGTAAATAATAAATAATTAATATTAGTATAGTATAGCCAGCGAATGGTAAAGCGCATGTTAATCACATGTGATATCGAGAGCGCGTGAAGACTTTCAAAGGGTTTATTAGTTCTTGATGGTATTAAATATGGCTGCTTGGGCTAACATAATTATATGCTGATTACATTTTTCTAACAACCATGTAAATTCGATGTTTCATATATATATATATATATTAAAACGGCAGGCATCCAAGCACATAATCAGGAAATTATTAATCATAAAGTATCATTATTAAGGAATTCAATAGTAGAATCAAAATAATAATGATCGGCCATCCGAAAAAAAACACAACAGAACATGCAAATATATACAGTTAACGCGCGTCAAAGATTATCATATGCCACTGCAGTTCACGTTTTGTCTCACCGATGCGTTCTCAGGAAAAGTCTGCAGCATTCGCCTGCAAGAGATTATGTACGAAGAGGAGCAGCAAGGTCAAAGCGACCCTCTCTCGTATTCCGACGAATACCAGCAATCTGGAGGCAACGCGTGGCTGCGTAACCTCATGCGCAGGCCGACACAAGTCGCACCTGAAGGTACAGGCCGGGAATCGACGATCATCCTAACACGTGCCACCTACTATATAGGCAGGACCGCACACATAGACACAGACACACGCGCGCGCACGCACACACGCACGCACGCACGCACGCACGCACGCACGCACGCACGCACACACACACAAATATATATATATATATATATATAATCGTCGCCCACACAGCATCGTGTAAGGCCGGGTAAAGGCCCTCGCGGTTTCAGGTTTGTATGTTTGGCCGTGTGAGCGCGGCGTCGCTCGCCACAATCCCCACACGTACCGGCATATTACACATGTTTCCCATTCCCCTGCATTTCACACCTATTTTCTCGTTCCCTGCATTGCCCCCCCCCCCTACCCCACCTTCCCAGCATAATGTCGCTTGTAACGGTGACGCAACCACTACTGCAGTTATGATTAGACGCTATACCGCATGATAGGCTGATGCGCTGAATTGTACTGCTGCATCCACTTCTGCTTATTCGCATAATTTCTAAATGTATACGCAGCTGATCACGAGCGAAAAAAACGCTAAATAATGAAGGCATGAACACAAACGTATAGATAAAGATAATGTCATATACTAGCAAGAGAATATTCACCCATCATTCAAATTAAGTTGAATGCCAGTTGTGTTTGTACCCGTTTCCAGACTACGATAAAAACAATTTTCTAGTAACGTCTAGCTACTTAACATCTACTTTTCATTGGCTGTCCAAATATAATGTTGCGTTCCTAATTATATACCAGTTTTCTGCAACAGTGCAGATTGTATAACTTTAGTCTAATATATTTAAAAAAAGGAAATGGTCGTCTTTAATGGAAAAGGAAAATGTCAGCCCAGGACGAAGCCACAACAACGTCACAATTCGTTTTTGACGCATATAAAAAACCATATCTATGAAAAACTACCTGTTGGCCGTGTTGTGAATGACCTGCGTATACAATTTACAATAAGCAGAATGTAGAAAGCAGCGCTTTTTAGCGTAAAATACGTGGTCACACGTGCTTGAAATATGATTTCCCCACGCTGAACTTAAGCACCATTATAATTTACTACCCATATACGTATATACATATAACCAGGGGTTAATAAAGACAAATCTGTCATTATTAACCCCTGATATAACTACGTCGACGAGTTTTTATTGTTTCGAACATCCACTAGTTTGTTTCACCATAATATATAATTTGCTATTTTCATCCCGTGAATATAATTTGATATACTCCCCGTCGTTGACATTATTATTTTGGCTCATAGCGTTTCATACGCATATCACGTTTTGCGCACTATATACCCAGTATGCATGCGATATTCGATCTTCATAGGCGATACCCTACTACACAGCCCCGCTAAAGACGCACTGGCACCAGGCCACCTGCAATTATTTCTCAAACATGCAATCGACTGGAGACAGGTTTCACGTAGATATGAGGAAATTGTGGGAGGCTACGACGCTCAGCAAACCAGTGACGATGAAACAGAGTGAAACAAGGTGTCACGTCAAGGTGTTATCTATGAAGATATATATAGCGATACTTTGTTCATTCGTTGGCATGCATGCAATCTTCTCTGCACGCTTAATGCACTACTTTTATCGTTGCAATGTTTCGTGATTCTACAATAGGTCCCTCGAAAGAAAAGGCTCGTATTACAAATAGTATAAGGTAACACCATATTCGATAGATGTAATGCTAGTCGATATTCGATGGATAGAGAAATCTACCACTTTCGATATTCTGTTGTTACTATCAGCATATAATGCACAAACAATATAGCAAATCTATATTGTCAATTGTATGTTAAAATGTATTGTACAAGTAAGTTTGTGTACGTTTGCGTTGGCGCGGGTAAAAAGAAATATGATCATGTGTAATAGGATTATATCAGTAACGCGTACTTAATACGCGTAATACAGTATTAATTAAATTAATTAATAATATTAAATTATTAATGTAAATTATTAATTAATTACTTAATACAGTAATAGCAGAAAACTATTCTACCTTCTATAAAACGCGTACGTCTGCATTTATGCACGTTACCGTTCTTTAAACTACAAGAACAAAGAATGTCGTAGCCGTACCACAAGAATTCTGATGAACCTACTATGAACACCTTCAGAATTCTTGGGGTGTACGTGTGTGTGTGTGTGTGTGTGTGTGTGTGTGTGTGTGTGTGTGTGTGTGTGTGTGTGTGTGTGTGTGTGTGTGTGTGTGTGTGTGTGTGT